GGAAGGGGGGGGGGGGGGAGGAGATGCTGGAGGAGGGCTGAAGGGGAAAGGTCTTAACCACAGAAATTTGGGGCTCCATTGTGGTCGTAAGTCAAGGACTACCTGTATTTAGACCCTATCATTGATGGTCTCTGCCTATAAGCAATCTTTCTTGCACAATTTACTATCATTTGACTGATCTTGTGGATTCAAGACCTTTCCCCTTCAGCCCTCCTCAAGCATCTCCCCCCCCCTTCTCATACCATGTTGACAAAGGCAGCGATGAAGACAAGCAGGATGGAGGCAACGCCAGTAATAGTGCTGTTGATTCGGGATTGGATGATCTTGCGAGAAACACGCTGCAAAAAGGCAGGAAAGGGCTACAAGGGATTGGAAAAGGCTGAATGAGTAAAGGGGTGCTGATATTACCATTCATCACTTCCAACTAGTTGCAACTATCCCCCTTAGCCTGATAACACCAGAGCCAGATACCAGGAACCAAGCTCACGGTCAATCTAGAAGAATCTACCATGGGGAATCAGGCTTTCTGCCGAGAAGCTGAATTGTGCTCAGCAGACAACAATAATACAATATTAATGATACTGTAGACAATATTATTTTCCAATAAAACTGGATAATAATACTGGAGGCAACACTGAAGAAGATGAATGAATAATCTAGCCTGATATAAAGCAACTTTCATTTTTCTATTTCCCCAATCTGGCAAAAAAGAAGACACTGCAAATCTTGCTTGATTACTGGTCCAACACCAATTAGTATTTTCCTCCATCTGCAACTTGGCAAGAGCCAGTGCAAAAGTGAAAACACTGTAATAAAACTCCATAGGTTCTGAAATGGCTTCCAGAAGCAGGTGCTTTTCAAATGTGCTAAAACCAGGCTGGCTAAGCAATTCTATGCAGGGTAATCCCAAATACATCTCAATGATACTCAGCTGGGGAAGAATGCTCCAGCTGGAAAATTAAAGACATCTCTATTCTTGGTAAGAAGATGTGCCCAAGCAGAATCCACAGCTGGTGGAAACAAAGTGAGAACGATTCAAGATTTGTTCATTGGTGGGATTTGTGAAAGCGTAACTTACACCAAGGCAGGAATAAATGGCACACACAAAAAGAATGGAGGCCAGGATGATGAAGATAGTGATGTAGGCTCCAAGCATCAGAGATGAACTGTGGAGATAAGGAGTATAGTTAGACTGAGAAATCCAGACACTGCCATTAAATTAACCTTTCCAGTACTTACTAGTATACAGGCCTGACCTTCCCCAACTTTAGCCCTTTAGCTGTGATGGAAGACTATTCCCACTATTCTCAACACATCCAATGCGGGCTGAGTGGCCATAACACATTTGGAAACATCAGATTAGGCATGTTTACATAATGTTATTAAAGTAAGGTAAAGGTTCCCCTCACACATCTGTGCTAGTCATTCCCAACTCTAGGGGGCAGTGCTCATCTCTGTTTAAAAAGCCAAAGAGCCAGAGCTGTCTAAAGACATCTCCGTGGTCATGTGGCCAGCATGACTAAATGCCAAAGGTGCACGGAACGCTGTTACCTTCCCATCAAAGGTGGTTCCTATTTTTCTACTTGCATTTTTAATGCACTTTTGAACTGCTAGGTTGGCAGAAGCTGGAACAAGTAACAGGAACTCACTCCGTTGTGCGGCATTAGATTTGAACCA